ATTTGTGAATAGTTAATCCTCATTACAGAAGGAGAGTTAYTATAAAAGAGCTCTCTTTCAGAGGAATTGCCATGAGAGAAATGCATTGTTGAGAAGTAATTAAGATGTTGAATACTGCATCCCTTGTTAGAATCCAGCAATTGACTCCGAAGCAGATCCTGTATGACATCCCAAAAAAAACAACAGTTTGGATAGTTAGTCAAGGTAGCTATTAGAAATGAATGATGTTTGTTATGCAAACACAAATCTCTTGCATAAACTCATGTCAGTTTTCAAGTAGTTTTTATAAGATAGATGTCAGCTGCCTTTCTTACAACGAGTCTCTTTTGACTGAAATTTTCTGCAATGCAGAGCTGTTGCCTCGACATTGTACWGATGAACAAAAGGATTACAGGATGTCAAAACATCACAAGAATTCTCTGCATCAGGAGCAGAAGCCTAGCATTTAGCCTCCAGCAGGGCTGGCCTCTGATCTTGGAAACATCCAAGAGAGAGTCTACTGAATACACAGTAATAAGCAAAACTCTCAATTCAGAGGTGTAAAGTTACACCTGACACATGACATTTGGATATCAGATATTCCTGCTTGAGGGGGGGAATAAAAATCTACACGAGTGCCTCTCAGACACCTTGCAGAAGGCATGACTCGTTCCCTGTGACCGTGAATGGATTAGAGCAGACGTGGCAGGGCTGGTGACAGTCCCCAGGTGAGGGTGACACTTCAGCTGAGGTGTGCTGGCACACCAGGCAAACTGGCAGCCTCCAGCTCTGGCATTTCCTGTGCTGCTGAGCCACAGCAGGAGGGACATGGAGCCAGAAAGACATATTCAGTGTCAAAGAACCAGGGTGGCATGCAGAAGGTTCCAGAGTGACATCTGACTGGACAAGCAGACAATTTTCCCTATGGGTGTTAGGATGTGCCCTTGGAAAAACATGGAACTGAGCAAGCCACTCAAAGCTATCACTGCAAAGGCAGTGACTTCAGCACACTCAGCATTTACAGAGAACACCCAAGACCTTCTAAATAAACTGCCAATTAGCTCATCCACAGGTGCCAAGTTCTTGCCATTAGGTCAGGGAGCCTTTCCCTGAATTATTTTCTACAGCTGAAATTATCTCTGAGAAGTCCTASGAAGGGATTTGACATTTTCCTTCCAATGCTTGTACACAGAAGGGAAAGTGAAACCTTCAGTGAACCAGGTTCCATTTTAATGTTTYCAAATAATATTCCTGACTCTGYTTCCATTGTGGMTTACATGTAAAWTKTTTTTTTTTTKCTCTCTGGGGAAGAGGAAAGGAGTGCTTTTGTACAAATATGTCAGAGGCCCAGCAGAGAGCAAAATGATGGTCTACATGTTAAAGAAATTTATGGAGTTTTTCACAAAGAAAAGTAACCAATGGTAAAAATTCAGTTGTCCACAAAAGGCACAGTTCCCCTTGCAGGAAAAAAACGTTGGGACAAGCAAAAGGTTGGGACAATGTTGTGACAGATATAGGCAATGGMAAGAGAGAAAATCTTGTTAATCTAAAAATGCCACTTGTGCATCTTTTTACTTCATAAGGCAAAGACATCTTTATCCAGTGCAACAACCCAGGTCACATCAAGGTGAATTTCCAGTAGGATGCTATGGCTTACAGAACAAGTCATGAATATTTGATGTGCCCTTTAAATATCTTAGTATCATCTCTTCAAAAGAATTATTCTTGCACAGACCAATGAATCTTGAATGGATTTACTGCTCTCCCCTGTTTCCTTAACTCTCAGTTTAAAAAGCACACAAATAACTTTGATCTAAGCATGTTTTCCCATTTAATCTCCACAATGAAAAAGGAAACCTGACATTTTGCAGGTATTGTTAATCCTGTTTTGACACAAAGAGATGGATTAGTAAATCAGAGTCTCTTTAAGATCCTTYATTTTTTAATACTTGATGATCAAACCTAATAGGCAAGGTCTAACTGCCAGCAGATAATGGTACTGCTTTCYTTTGTCAGAAGACTGGGAGATTATGCAATTTATGACCTATCTTTAWTGGTGGCCACAGGAACACAGAAATCATACCTACTCTGTAAAAGGAAATATTTGCATACAGAAGATTAGAAATAAAACTCATATTGTCTGAGTGAATACCAAAATGCTTCAGGAAAATCCAGGAGTTTCAATCCAGAATGAAGATTAGAAATAAAACTCATATTGTCTGAGTGAATACCAAAATGCTTCAGGAAAATCCAGGAGTTTCAATCCAGAATGAAATAATTAAGTGAAAGAAGAGAAGAAAAGAAAAAATGACTAAGAACAATACATGGGGCTACAAATTCCAGTAAAATTTGTAGTGTCTTTAAAGAATCTCTCTGAARAAGAGAATGCAACATTTTAAGTTTCTAACAAAGAATAAAAAGCTCCTGCACAACTATTGTGGCTTACTGATGCCATCTGTATTTATGGTACACTTTCAGAGTTCTGCCTCTCAGTGTTCCAAGGAACCAGCCTTTTAGTCTTTTCTCTGCAGCATAAAGCAAACAGGCTTTTCCCTCACTCCCAACCCCATTCCAGGCTTTTATACCACCAGTGCAGTATGATACCCGACTTCAGCTGGACAAGAAATGGGTGTCTCAGTTTCTTATCTTCCAATCAACAGGTATTTTCAAACACAAAACACATCACTGACCTGTTACAAGGTTCAACAGTTCTGTCTTCTGTTTCTAGTATGGATATGTCATACATACAGTAAGGAAAAACTTGGATATTTAAAGATTCCATTTCTCTATTTACATTCATTTTTTGTTAAATAYTAGTGGAAGTGAGAAGAGCTGGCATGCTATAAATTCCTCTTTACATATTTTACAAATAATATAGAGATTTCAAGAGAAAAACTCAGATCTTTAACCTAAATCTCTTTCTATGTRCAGATCTAGTGCAGGCCTTCACCTTCCTTCAGTACCAAGGTCAAGCTCTGAAAACAGAGAATGGAAATAATTGTGGCTGTGGTGAGGAGGGGGGAGACTGAGTTCATTTTTATGGAGTTTATTTACAGATATAAATCCCTGACCACATAACGACACTCCTTTGATCACTTCTTTCCATCTACTCTAATAAAAAGTGTAAAATACACAGACAATTTTAGAGGGCAGGATCAGCCCAAATGTCCCTAATAATTTGTATCCTGTTTTGACTGTCTGGGGGTCTTTGGTGGTGGTTAAACATGCCCTYTTCTGACCTGGAATTCCAACCCACTGTTTGAAGACATGAAATCCCAATGACAGCCAGCTCCTAAGGAAGCCAGAGTACTGCTTTTATTCCRGGGAAAGGAGGAAATGGTTTGCAAAGTAGATTCTTCCAGTTGCTTGATGTGCAAAGTGATAAAAATTTAAGACACTTTTTATTGCTTTACCTCCACTGGCACAAGGATTGGACTAGATGTCCTTACTGGTTCTTTCTAGTTTGCTTACAGCCACTTCCCCAAAGGAGGCAAAGAGACAGGTTCCCTAGACAATCCAAAATGAGACTTGCATATAAACAACTCTGAGGCTTCTGACTTATGAATGATTAAGATGAATATTGTGGAAGCAGCGGGGAAAAGCAACTGGGGTATTTTCTTAAAAGAAAGTGATTATATGAAAGATGCTCCTGGCCTTGCAGCCAATCCAACCCAGCTGCTTCCTTACAGAAAAACCTTGTGATRGCAGAGAGGTATTGAAAATGTGATCAAATAGTGCACCAAGGGTAATGGTCCGCTCTTGCCTTTTGTGTGACCCTTCTCAAATTAGTCAAAACCACTGTGGGGAACTTCCTCAGTCAAAAATCTGTTATATATCACCACAGCACAGGGGAAACACGGTAGCAGGGGGTGGAGTTCATCAAAGGGTGCCACTTGTTGCCAGCCTGGGTTCTGACACGCAATCCGCCGTCGCGAGACAAGTGGAAGTCACTATTGATTTGTTCTGACTGCTCTGGAAGTGCAAGCCTTTTCTGTTTCTCTCATCTTTCACATCATTAATTATCTTGAAAGAGAGCATGGTGTACAGACAAGGCTTGTTAGGGAGAAAACTCCGTGACTGAACACGAGGTGACAGTGCAAGAACATGAGTGCGGTACCACAGGATTAGCACAGGCGGATTATTTTGCCTTTAATAATGCCTCTGAAGGTATAGTCAGTAATAAGCATTTCTGACACATGCAGGTTCTCTTTGGTTGTAAAAGGAGAGTAACCTTTCAGGCACTTTATCATTCTTTTTACTGAATAGYTCCTTTGTGACAATCCTGGATCACAAATGTTTCAGTCTTGGGCAAGAAAAAGATAAAAGTGAACTTCTCATCATCCTAACTGACACTCTGGCCAACACAATTCACTTGTCCACAGACCCACTAATTAATGTTCTAGAACTGAACACACAGATCCACTAATTAATGTTCTAGAACTGCACACACAGATCCACTAATTAATGTTCTAGAACTGTACACACAGATCCACTAATTAACATTCTAGAACTGCAACAGGCTCTCACAATGGCAACAAACATGGAGCAGAACATGGAGCAGCCAGGACAGGTTCTAGCAAATTCTAGTTCCAGCACAAGGTATGATGGGTGGTGCACTTTAGCTGTCAAATTTGGTTAGCAGAAGACCTTCAAAGAAAAATTCATCCTTCTGGGGAAAACTCAGTACATTTTTTCATATTCAGTCCCAGCCACAGCCTTGAAATGAAGTGATAAAGAAAGGTTCCTTTCAGCCTCAGTGCCCACATTTCAGAAGGATGTATCTATCCTAATGCAGTATCACATACCCAGGAGAATAAATAAAACACTCTGGGATTCTTGACTTCATCTATCATTAGAACTGCTTTCCTTATTTTCTTTTTTTTTCCCCCCCTCTAAACTGGAATGCTCTGAAACTGTGTTTACACATGCTAGTTAAGGATGCCAGGTGTTCCCCAGAGTCTCACATTCGTTTATGTTCAGAATACTCAAGCTCCTCTCAGCACAGCTTCCTTTTTTTTTACCTTCTGTCGCTGTTGAATGTTGCTGATTGTGTCAGGCTGAAACTCCAGCTTGTCTGTTCGGCAGAGTTTCCAGTATAAAATAGTAACAATCAGGAGCACCACGGCCACTGGGACTGCCACCCCGACGATAATCCAGAGGTTGCTATTCTTTGTCTCTGAAGAGGGCTCCTTCAGCCTCTCCACAGCTGTAAAGTTAAAAGGAAGACAGCAACATTATGTGGTTGTGTTTTAAACAGGGGACACTTCAAGGTTATGGATTTTTATGTTCTTGTAAATGCTAGTTAAGGAATTTATCAGAAACCAGCTGCACATCACAGGAAATGTGGTACCACCACTGTAAGTTAAGGTTTGTCGTGCTCAGGAAGTGTGGGGCAGGAGATCAATTGTCCTGGCCCACCTTCTGAAGACCCGTGCTTAAAATACTAAKGAAAATGCACTTCTGCCACATCATCCTGTAACCCAAAACTAAGCTGACAGAGTGGAATGGGTCTAAAAAAAAAAAGACTCTGCCACTAGCAAAGGTAAAATGGACTTTCCAACATTGCTGCCTGTTCCCTGCTTTAAGCAGTGTTACCAGCTGCCTCTTCTCTGGCACATTTTGTTTACAAAATCAATTTGAAAGCAGTAGGGCCCTCCTCCCCAAGGTGTCTGGTTCTGCATTATTTCACTGCCAGTGTGTGAGAYCCTTTAGCCCCAAACAGAAAACTAAACTGCTGGAAAGTGTAATCAAGTCATTCTTGTAAAAAGTAAAATGAAAGAACTGACAAAACTTCCATTTCCCCTTTTTGTGTAATGGTTACATGTGAGACTGAAAACCACAGCAATACTAAATTTCTAGTCAAACTGATGCACTTTGTAAAAATGATGTTTTCAAGTTGGAAACAGTATTTCTATTTCTATTCGTTTTAATGTATCATTTTACTAATAGCCATTCTAATGATGAACCTAGAACTTAATGSAACATATAATTCTTATATTTTATACATCTAACAACTCATTTCTGGCATTATGTTTTCTGCCAGAAAAAAAAAACCTTTTTTGGCCTAGGTTCTTTCAAGAAGACGCATTTGAAGATTTCTAATGATGGGTCAAAGATAACAAGTTACAACATGCACTGTGAGCTATAAACACTCCATGAAATTAGTTCAACGTTTTGCATTTTTGTTTATCTAGTAAAAGATCACATTGCTTTTCCATTAGATTCATTAAAAGATCATATTATTTATATATAACYGATGGACAAACAAACAAAACTAAGGCTAATCATATTCAATGGAGGAAATAAATGCCCCAAGTACCATAGCATACATCTTTCACAGGAAAAGTAAATCAGACAGAAAAGCAGTGACTTGTGTTAAACAACRTAGCAATAAGTAAAACCTTATAAAACACGGGCTTTGTCACCCCTGTAAAACTCTTGCTCGCTCCTGTTACTTCAGCTCACCAGAGAAGGATTCTGGGAATGACTCAGCTAAACTAGAGGTGGAAAACAAGTTCCATAATCCTGGTAAACAAGGGATAGAGCCAGTGAGAGCTCACACGGTGGTGCATGGTGGTTGGTTCTGACCATGGTGTGTTCCTGGTGTGATTTATGGTGGTTGGTTCTGACCATGGTGTGTTCCTGGTGTGATTTATGGTGATTGGGTAAAACACTTAATTGTGCTTCCTAAGAATGTAAACCCCTAACAACCTTATAGTTTAAAAACCTTGGATTTTTGCAATAAACCAATTCCTCTTTCTACCTGCCTGGGGGGGTCTATGTCCTTTCTCATAGTTTCAAAACTTCACGACAATTACTCAGCTAAAGGAAACACCCATTTCATACTGACATCCTCCCATCCCAAAATCATGGGGTTGGACAAGATAAACTGTGAAGGAACATTGGATCAGCAGGATGAGATGAAAAAGGCARGAAGGTTTTTAGTTAGCATAGTACTTTCCCAGCACAAGCACTGGGGTGACTGCAGTGAGGCTCACGGTCCCTGCTGCAACCCGAAGCTCAGCAGAATCTTTAAGAAGCCACACAACACCGTGAGCTCACTGTGAGGCTGCTGAAACTGATTTCCTCAAGAGTATCAAGGCTGCAGCATTCCAAGAACTGTTGGAATTCCAAGAACTAGGCACCCAAGCTAAAAAGACCCTTCCTGTTTGGCTCTGCAGGCTCAGGGTGGATGTGACAGGGCTTACGCTGCGCAACGGTGCCATCGATGCGGTATCCCAGGATGATGGCAGCRCGCTGGATATCGACTCTGTTCATCAGGTCTGAGCACTTCAGAGCACTCAGTCTCTCCCCATCTTGGTCCTCCACAAAATAGATCAGCTCCACGGGGTTATCAACACCAACTAACCGCGACACGTTCACGATCTGAAAAGAAATTGCAAAACTTTTACGTTTTAAGTTGTATTTATTTGGAGCTCCCGTGCTCTCTCTCTCCCCTGTTGCAACTGAAAGGAACATTTCAAGGAAATGATCCTTTGTATAATACATTTTTATGGCAAACCCTCTTTCTTTCCCACCCCAATTTGTATCATAAAATGTACAGATCTGCTAAATAAGAGAATTGCTTTCAATCCAAAGATGTGCACCACCCTGGAAGCCTCTACTGCCTTTAGCATGTTGGTTGGAAGCATAACTGCACTTTTCCCTTCTCTAAATACCTACTCTAACTTTGATTTGTTATTCATAACACACACACACCTCCTGGCTCCAGTTTTTCTAAATGTTAAGCAGCTACAAAGGTGAATATTCTGTTAGCATCAAATAAAACTGTTTGCTCTGCTTCAACTCAAGCACTTGCACAGTCACCTTCATCCTCCAAACAGCTCCCCTTGGCACCCACCTTTCTTCAGGATGGAATGCATCTGACACTGTGGGGAGCAATTCCTCCTGCCTACATCTGAAGACATTAATAATCAAAAGAATGCAAGCTATGAGGAAGCCCTGTAGATACTCTCTAACCACCAAAACATCTACATTGCATATGAGAATCGCATAGCTTTGAATTCCTGTAAAATTACATCTTTTTATATAACAACTCCCCTCTGTTTAACCATTTGTCATRTAATGGTGAGCTCAAACAAGATTTAGGACAAAAAATAGTAGGTATTCGGTCTTTTTTTTCTTTTGTAAAGAATTTGAAGAGCTCTGGAAGGAATTGACAAAGAGAGCAGAGAATTGTCCTCCAGAATTGTCCTTCTGCTTCCTCCAGAATTGTCCTTCTGCTATAAAGTACATATTTAATAAATTATTATCTCAGAAAATGCCCATAGGCCTAAAGTAAAGCAAACACATAAACATATGCATGTCTGAGGCTTACAAAAACAAAGCTTTGTATTGCTGTCTTTCCTAGTTTCTAACAAAACAAATCACGTTGAAGAAAAGAAGTGTCATTTCCAGCTCAACAGAAATGATGTTCTGGTTTTGGGTAACAGCAACTCAACACGTCCTAAAAAAGCATTTTTTACT